GTAAAGACTTCAGTCTGCAGTATGGATTACATCTCAACATAATGAAAACAAAAATCCTCACAACTGGACCAATAAGCAGCATCACAATAAATGGAGAAAAGATTGAAATTGTTAAAGATTTCCTATTACTTGCTTCTACAATCAACACCAATGGAAACAGCAATGACATTAAATCATGTATTGCACTGGGAAAATCTGCAGCAAAAGACCCCTTTCAAGTGCTGAAGAGCAAAGATGTTTCCTTGAAGACTATGGTACGCCTAACCTAAGCCACGGTATTTTCAATCGCCTCATATGCATGTGAAAGCTGGACAATGAACAAGACCGAAGACGAATTGATGCTTTTGAGTTGTGGTGTTGGAGAAGACTACTGAAAGTACCAGACTGCCAAAAGAATGAACAAATCTATCATGGAAGAAGTGTAGCCAGAATGCTCCTTGGAAGTGAGAATGTCCAGACTTCATCTCACTTACTTTGGTCATGCTGTCAAAAGGGACCATTCCCTGGAGAAGGCTATCATGCTTGGTAAAGTGGAGGGTGAGAGAAAAGGCGAAGGACCTCAATGAGATGGACTGACACAGTGGCAACAATGATGGGCTCAGGTAGTGCAAGGACTGTGAGACTGACACGAGACCAGGCAGTGTTTTGTTCTGTTGTACATAGGCCTGCTATGAATCAGAGCCAACTTGACAGCACCTAGTAACAAACAACAAAACCTCCAAACCAAGGAACCAAATCCCATGAAGTATTTGGTTGTACAAAAGCAGCCTCAGCAGTTTTACTTGTTTGTTTTTTGGTCCTTTTTGGTTGTTGTCATAAACATATCACACAACTTTTGCTAATTCAACTTTTTACAGGGACAGAAAGACTTTTGATTACATAAAGAATGGAAAGAATATAGTCAGAAGACCAAATTCTGGTAACTAGCTATGCGACATTAGGCAAATTACTGAATTCCTTAAGGAATTTTTGTTATTCACCAGCAAAAAGAAGGGGCTGGATTAAGTGACTTTTGAAGCCCTATCTACTTCAAAAAGAACTTTGGTGGTATAGTGGTTAAGGAATTTGGCTAACCAATAGGCTGGCGATTTAAACTCACCAGCTGCTCCACAAAAGAAAGATGAGGGAATCTGCTTCTATAGAGATTTACAGCCTTGGAAACCCAATGGGGGTTACTATGAGTCAGAATTGACTTGACGGCAGTTGAGTACGGTTTTTTTTTTTTGTTATCTATCTCAAATTTAGGAGCTATGGCAGCATAGTGGCTAAAACACTTGACTGCTAACCAGAAGGCTGGCGGTTCAAACCCACCAGCCACTCCTCGGAAGGAAGGTTGGGCAATCCTACTTCCATAGTGATACTGCCTCGGAAACCCAAGGAGGGGTCGCTATGAGTCGGGGGTCGACTCGACGGCACATAACAACAACAACAACAACATCTCAAATTAATTCTACTTAGTATTTACTAATCACCACCCTCATATACATACAGCTGTCAAACAATTAAAATTAAGTCCCAGGTGTCTAGGAGTCAATATTATTAGCAGGTATTTTTTTCCTTCATTCATGTTTCTCTAACTTTTCTAAATTATCTTAAAAAAAAAAAAAAAAAAAAACAGCTTTATGGAGATTTAATTCACATACCACAATTTACTCACTTGAAGTATAAAATTCAATGGCTTTTAATATATTCAGAGTTGCATAACCATCACCACAATCAATTTTACAATACTTTCAGCATCCCAAAAAGACATCCTATACTCTTTAGCAGTCAATCCTCACTATCTCCCAACCTCTCAAGTTCTAGGCAATCAATTATCTATTTTCTGTCTCTGTAGATTTGCTTATGCTGGGCATTTCATATGAATGGAATCATATAATATGTGGTCTTTTGTATCGGGCTTTATTCACTTTTTTTTTTAAATAACATTTTTAAGGTTCAGATAGTTTGCAACACATACTAGTATTTTCTTTCTTTTTACTGCTGAGCAGTATTTAATTTTATCGATCTATCACATTTTATTCATCCATTCATCAGTTGATGGACATCAGGGTTACTACCACTTTTTGACTATTATAAGTAATACTACTATGAACATTCATGTACAAGTTTTGTGCGGAAGCAAGTATACTTCTCTTGAGTATGTATCTATGAGTAAAATTGTTGGGTCATATGGTCTTATAAAAACTCACTGCCATCAAGTCAGTTCCTACTCATAGTAACCCCTCCTCAGGTTCCTGAGGTGGTATCTCTATGTAGATTGCCCAGTATTCCTTCAGAGGAGTGGCTGTTAGGTTTGAACCACCAGCCTTCTGGTCAGCAGTGAAAATGTCTTAGGCACTACACCACCAGAGCTCCTATGGTCTTATAAAGAACTACCAACTATTTTCCAAAGCAGCTTCACCAATTTCATTACCATTCATTTTATTTTTTCAGTTTGGATAGACTGGGAGAAAAATGTACAACAAAACTCAATGTGTTAAGGTTCCAATTTCTCTACATACTTGCCAGCACTTATTATCTTTTTGATTATAGCCATCCTAGTGGGTATAGAGTTGCTATGTTCTTTGATCGACAACATCTGCCAAGGTTACTAGTTTTGTGCCTTTAATCAAGTCATTCACTCACTATGAAATCTGTTCTGTAAATGGTAATAACAAAGTATTTCATAGGGTTCTTATGAGAATTAATGAAATAATAGAGAAAAAATTTAGCATAATACCCATTACAAAGTCTTTAATAACAGTAATTAATTATTATCATTAGGTCTTCTGCCCTCTAGGAACTTACAATCTAACTGGAAAAACAAAATATGCTTGGGAATGGCTGTTCTTATTTAATTAAGCGCAAAAAAAGGAGCAGAGACAATGAAGATGCAAGATTGCAAAGAGAAGGAGATCAGTAAAGGGTGGAAGGAATGGGGAAACCCCTGTGGGACACTTCACTAGATCCTGAATAAGATCAGCATAGCAGGGAGGGGTAAGAGGAGGTAGGAATTAGACATATGGCCCAGTTTAAAGAAGGAATGAAAAGAGTCTGGTAAAAAAAAAAGAAAGAAAAAAAAGTTCTGTACTTTTATAGCATAGTAAGACAACATACCTGGTTGGAACAAAGTTCCCTGCTGACAGTAGGTAATATGCTTCAATGGGTAGGGTAGGGCCAGATCACAAAACAAGTGAGGCCTCTTGAGCTTGGGATCATGGCCGCAGGGGACATCAAGCTCAACTGATGAAACATGTTGTTGTTATAATGTGCCATCAAGTCGAACCTGACTCATAGCGATCCCTCCTTGGGTTTCTGAGGCAGTATCACTACAGAAGTAGATTGCTCAACCTTCCTTTTGATGAGTGGCTGGTGGGTTTGAACCACCAGCCTTCTGGTTAGCAGTCAAGTGCCTTAGGCACTGTTGTTGTTGTTATGTGCCATCGAGTTGGCCCCGACTCATAGCGACCCCTCCTTGGGTTTCCAAGGCAGTATCACTATGGAAGTAGGATTGCCCAACCTTCCTTAGGCACTACGCTGACATAACATACTATACAAATTATTGTTCTACATCCTACTTTGGTGAGTAGCAACTGGGGTCTTAAAAACTTGAAAGCAACTGTTTAAAATGCAACAGTTGGTCTCTTCTCATCTAGAGCAAAGAAGAATGAAGAAAACCAATGACACACAGAAATAATTAGTCCAAGGTACCAGTGAACCATGTGAACCTCAGCCTACATGACCCTGAGACCAGAAGAACTAGATGATGCCTGGCTACCATTGTCAACCACTCAGAAAGGGATCAAAATAGGAGATCCTGGATAGAGTGAGGGAGCTCTGGTGGCGTAGTGCCTAAGGCATTTGACTGCTAACCAGAAAGCTAGAGGTTCAAACCTACCAGCCACTCCTCAGAAGGAAGGTTGGGCAATCTACTTCTGTACAGATATCACCTTGGAAACCCAAGGAGGGGTTGTTATTATATCGGATTCGACTCAATGGCAGTGAGGAGTTTTTGGTTTTTTTCTTTTGGTTTGGATGGACTGGGAGAAAAATGTGGAACAAAACTCAAAATCAGGCTTATTAGTCTGATAGAGATTGGTAAAACCTCTGAAACTTGGCCCCTAGTCACCCTTCAGGCCTGGAACTTAACTTACTACTGTGGCTTCTAGCAAAATAACAGACAGGTGCATAGGGTGAACCAGGTAGGTGCAGAACAATCAACCATGGGAGATCAGAACAGTATTTACATATGGAGATAGCTCAGCAGGCAGGAATGCATGGAAAGAACATAGGGAAAAGGTAGCCATAGGGAGGAAGTGGGAAGAGAGCTGGTACCTTGTGGGGATGGCAGTCAATGTCATGGAACAAAATGTGTATGAACAGTTGTATGGAAAATGAATTTGCTCTATAAACTTTCACCCAAATCACAATAAGACACTGGAAAAAAAAAAAAAGCCTCTGATTTTTACCCTTCAAATAATGGCAACAACTGAGGATTTGCAGGAAAGAGAAATTATGAAATTAAGCTTTTAGCAAAATTAATCTGGCAGCAGAGGAAAAGACTTGAGGCCAAAAAAAAAAAAAACTATTAGAAAGCTGTTTCAGATAGGACAAATGGGAAACTGAGAGGAATAAACTAGATGTGAGAAGATGAAGAACAAATCAAGTAGATTTCTTGAAAGAATGAACTGACTTTATGAATATTCTGAAAATAACATAATCTAGAAGTGACAATACACCTGGAACACAATCTGGAAATGACAACACATATTAGTAATCAAAACATTAATCCAAACTTACCCTCTGCAATATCTGAGCATGATGTGCCAATGGCTGTGTCCCCACTGTCAGCTACACTTGAACAGCGGCTGAAGCGGCTCCGAAAGGCCTCTGAGATAACAGGGGTCTGCCATTCAGTCCCCAGGGAACTACCCTTCTGAATCACACTGGAACCTGAAACAAGTGGCATTTCTCATCTTTAGTGTGGACAAGTTAATATAACCCCATGAAATCATTTAGAAAAAAAAAATCACTCTTAAATTTATGAGAATAGTAGCACCCTACCTCCTTCTCCCATGACTGTATTTCAGCTACTCTGAACTAGTTAATTTTAAGTAGAAATAGCATGAAAATATGAGAATATTCAAAGACAGAATCCAGGAGTACCAGGACAGAAAGCAGTACTATTGAACAGCAGCTATCATTTATTAAAACCTAGAAGTCACATCCCTTTACAAACAAGATTCATCCACCTACTTATTGAAAAGTAGGTATTACCACCCACATTTTACAGTGGAAAGAGCTGAGATTTGAACCCAGGTCTTTCTGATTCCAACACTCACATTCTGTCCTCTTGCAGGACTTCTCAATGGGTGCTTCTGGCATTCTGGGTATGACAATTCTTCAATGTATAGTCCATAGACTACAGGATGGACTACACCCACTAAACGCCAGAAACAACCCTCATCCTACCCCACCATCATCTAACAACCAGAAAATACTCCATAAATTTCCCAATGCCCCCTAAGATAACAAGTGGACTGTTGTTGTTATGTGCCGTCGAGTCGGCCCCGACTCATAGCAACCCCTCCTTAGGTTTCCAAGGCAGTATCTCTACGGAAGTAGATTGGCCCATCTTCCTTCCCAAGAGTGGCTGGTGGATAACAAGTGGACTAGTCCCTTGTTGAAAACAACCATTTGACTAAACTAGGGTACCTTCAATGAGCAGGGTGAATTCAGATCAAAGTGAGTTTTAAAACCCAATGTGAAGAGCTTAAGATTTTATCTTGAGGGCAATTAAAAGAAACAGCTAAAATTTCTGAGCAAATAAAACAAAACAAAAAAAAGACTGATGAGATATATTTGACTTTATTAGCTTTTTATCTTCGAAGGTTGATAGGTAAGAAGTATTCAGTAAATACTCAATTCACTTACTAACATACTGGCAAAGGCTTCAATTCAAATTAATTTTTAAAAAACTAGAATTAGATTTCTACTTTGTAGCTGACAATCCATGGAAGCCCCCCCCAAAAAAAGGCAATCAAGAGTTTGAGCTGAAATTTTAAAATACGGTTCTATAGATTCTTTAATCTAGTGGGAGGCAAATGGTATTTGAATACAAATTGAAATAGGCAGGGAACTGGGCTATCCAGGCCAAATAAGCCCCTGAATCAATATCCTTCAAATTTAAGCCTACGTGCAGACCATTCCATAGTTCTAGCTGCTGGCATGAGAAAACTGATTAGTTGGCAAGCCAGGGGTTTGGGTGAGATAAAAGAGGCTGCAAATTAAAGGCCCTAGGAAGGTTGGGCAATCTACTTCCGTAGTGATACCGCCTCAGAAACCCAAGGAGGGGTAGCTATGAGTCGGGTCCAACTCAATGGCACATAACAACAAGCCCAACTAGTTATAAAATGCTAATAAACCTCCGACCGTTTTTTAAGTCTGTCATTAGACAACTATGAGGTGCAGAGCATGCACAGTAAAGGTCAACGTGACTGACTAAGTGACCTTCCACCAGAGGCAGGCAAGAACAAGAATCTTTCGCTGGGGCCCAAACTTGGGTCCAGAGACATCACACATGCGTAACGTGAACCTCAAAACCCCATCCATTTCATGAATAAAGATGATGCCTCTTTCCTGCCGAAGGCCCTTCGTAAGCCTAAGAAATCCTCTTGTTCAGAGAAAGACCGGGGGCTAGAGTAAGCCAGAGTCCTTTTCCATCTCTCCCTCATGAGCCCCTCCCCTCTCCTCTGTCTTTTTAATAAGCCTTGGTTCCTGTGCACATTTTGCCTCACCTGTTCAATTCTCTGACAGTAGAAGGCAAGGACCCTTGCTCAGGGTCTCAGGCACCCTAGTTAACAAAACCATCTTATTCCTTTATTACAAATGGAGTGCCTCCTCCCATCTTTTTAACCTACTTCTACTTTTGTTCCTTATGTTAGCTTTACTTTTGCTTCCTATTGAGAGCAAACTAACCCTCCCTCAAGTACCCTTCATTCTTTGGGTGACTGCAGACTGCCTGCTTTGAAAGAATTTGCCCAATTTTTATATGCACAGTTGTTGTTATGTGCTGTCGAGTCGGCCCCAACTAATAGCGACCCCTCCTTGGGTTTCCAAATAGGATTGCCCAACCTCCCTTCCAAGGAATGGCTGGTGGGTTTGAACCGCCAGCCTTCTGGTTAGCAGTCGAGTGCCTTAGGCACTATGCTACCAGGAATCAGTAATAATTTTTAATAGAAGACATAGCCAATAATCAATCAGAACTACTGATCAGCATGAGATAAACTGATGTTACTGAACTGATGTAATTTTAGCCAGAAGGAAGGAAATATGACCACATGGTGAATCTATACGGCTTTATCTCATTCATCAGTGTACAATTTGCCAGGCCTTTTAAAATAGTGAAAACTGACTAAAAGCTTCTATTGCCATGCTCCAGGTCTCCAACTGGAAACCACTCCTTATCATAATGACTAATCTTCCATTCTTCACTACTACCATATTTCTATTCACCCACTCTGTAACCTCAATTGTAAAGAGATATTTGCTAAAATAAAAATGCTTTGGTACATTTATATAGCCTTAGGCTTATTTCAGGAACCGTAGTGGTGCAGTGGTTAAGCACTGTGCTGCCAACCTCAAGGTTGGTGGTTTGAACCCACCAACTAATCAGTTTTCTGATGCCAGCTGTTCCATGGGAGAAAGATGTGGCAATCAGCTTCCATAAAGATTTACAGCCTTGGAAATCCCATGGGGGCAGTTCTACTCTGTCCTATAGGGTCACTGTAAGTCAGAATCCCTTGTCAACAGTAGGATATTGTGTTTATTTCAAAATTTAAGTTTGGAAGCAGAGGTTTTTTGTGCTACGTTATAGCCTATCAGTAACATCCTTATCAAATATTAAGACCATTATTACTGTGAATGAGAGACTACTAAAGAAATACAAAATTATGAGAAAGGAAATAAACTTTGTTAATAATTACTACATTCTAACAACCTGTACTATAAACATCATTGTCATAAGAAACTGTCATCTGGCCATAAGATAGTGCCTTGCATATAGCAGATATTTAACAAATATTTGCTGAATGTTGAGATGATTCAGCAAAAGCTTAACAAGTGCCTACTATGCAAGGCAATGTGCTTGTTGTTGTTGTTGTTATGTGCCGTCGAGTCAGCCCTGACTCATAGCGACCCCTCCTTGGGTTTCCGAGGCAGTATCACTACGGAAGTAGGATTGCCCAACCTTCCTTCCGAGGAGTGGCTGGTGGGTTTGAACCATCAGCCTTCTGGTTAGCAGTCAAGTGCCTTAGCCACTATGCTACCAGAGCTCCCTATGTGCTTAGGAGGATACAATAAATATCTACCAAATGTCTACGTGAGTAAAGCACTTTGGAAGTTTAAAGTTAAATGAAGCATATCTTCAGTTGAATAAAATACACTCTTTTCTTCATAAATGTCCTAGAATTCAAAAAGTTGTATTTCTAAATACTACTTCCTATTTGAAGTATACCATATCTACTTAATATGTCTACTAAGTGTGTACACGTATATATATTTAACATATATACTTAATATATCCACTTGGTCTATCTACTGAGCTTTCATAAATCTTGTCAATCCATTCCAGAGATAAGTTTCTGAGTCACTAGTGAAAACACAACAGAGATTGTTGGCATCTGAGAAGAATTCTTATCTTTGTGGGCTAGTAGATGACTGACCCACACAGAGGACTATAAAGACAACACAGAACAAAGTAATTTATGCTGTGTTTTTCTAATTTCAAATAGAAATATGTTCCAAAGTCATTCTGTTCTGATCCTTTATGTGTTCTCTTTCCCAGTCAATCATGCGGTCTTAACTGGAAGCCATGTAGGACCAAAGATTAATAAATATACCGTCAGAGATCTGTTTTTCTATTTGATATAGCTTCATGTTATTTTTGTTCTTTATGCTAGCAACTGCTTTCTTGGGGTGTTTCAACCACTATTTTTTTTAGTACCAGCATTCAGTGAATGCTTGTCTACTCAGTATCTCCCTTAAAAAAAATACCAAAGCAAGGGTCAGAATTTAACGCAGAAAACTGTACTCACCTGGTGAATTGGCCTGGGAGATTCTCTCACTTGGGTACTTCTCCTGCATGGCCATCACTGTTATTTGAGGCAACTATTGAATGAAGGAAGAATCAATTATTTCTCTTCAGTATCTTTTAATACCCTATAATTCAGTCCCAATTCAACTCAAATGGTCATAACCATATAGAGTATTCCAATATTCTTCCATATGTCTTATTTCTAAGGTTACTTTTTTTAGGCAAAACAATTCCCAATATTCCACACTACTTCTCTTCCTAAAGCAAAAAGGAAAAACCTAAAACTAAACACAGATTCCCAATACTGAGCTCATATAGTCCTAGAACCCTTCCAATTGTTGAAGGATTTAAAAATATTATTTTTTAACTAACAAATTTTTGCCATGGATCTTCTTAGCAATGAGGAAGGGGTGTGAGAGAGAGGGAAAAAGACCTAATGACCAAAACAATAGTGAGATATTACAGCTTCAATTATGAGCAACATAAAACAAACTCCCCAATTCCTTTAGTAATGAAAGTTAGTGATATGATGCGCAGAGATAGAACTTTTGGTCATAAGTAAAACCCCAACCATCAGCTGGGGGCATGAAATTTTCTCCCCATTTCCCCCATCCCTTACAACATTGACATTTACTCTACAAGTGAAAAAACCAAACCCACTGCCATGGATTCAATTTGAACTCAAAGAGACCCTACAGGACAGAGTAGAACTGTCATACAGAGTTTCCAGGGTTTTAAATCTTTAAGGAAGCAGATTGTCACATTTTTCTCCCACAGAATGGCTGGTGTGTTTAAACCACTGACCTTTTGATTAATAGCCAAACACTTAACCATTGCCCCATGAAGACTCCTCACTCTAAGGGTAGATGCTGAGAATTCAGCAGGAGTATAACTATCATCAGTGTAAACAAAGCTTTATATTTGCATAGTACTTAAAAGGTACTATGGACAAAACATTGTTCCACCTCCTACTTTGGCGAGTAGCGACTGGAATCTTAAAAGCTAGCAAGCTGCCATCTAGATGCAACAATGGGTTTCTCCTCTTCAAAAAGAAAGAAGAAAACCAAAGTTAATGGAAACAATCAGTCCTAGCGACTGGTACACCATCCAATCTGCAACCTGTACAACTGTGAGACCAGAAGAATTAGATGGTGCCCGGCTACCACTGTCATCCACTTGGAAGGGATGTAGGAGATCCTGCATAGACAGAGAGAACAATGTGGAATAAAACTCAAAATCATTTGGAGACAAAAAGAAAAAAAAAGGTGGGGACCAGGTTTGCTGGTCCAATAGAGCCTGGTGGAACCACTGAGACTATGGCCCCTAGCTGCCCTTCAGGTCTGGAATTGAACCCACACCTGTGGTTTCCAGCCAAACAAGGTACAGGCATGTTAGTTAAACATTTACCTCAAGTAGACACACGCCCTGGAGAGAACAATCATGGGAGAAGGAAGGGCTGCTTGTGCACAGGGAGACAGCTCAGGGCGCAGGAGAGTATGGAGGGATGGACACTGGGAAGAGGTAACTATGGGGAGGGAGGGGAGCTGTTGCATTGTGGTAAATTGTGGTCAATGACATGCGACAATGTATATGTGAACTGCTGTATGGAAAGTGAATTTGTTCTGTAAATCTTCACCCAAATCAAAATAAAATAAAATAAAAACCAACAACAACAAAAATGTCCTGGCCCAGATAATTTCACTGGAAAATTCTACCAAATTCAGAGAAGAGCTGACACCAATCCAACTCAAAGTATTCCAGAACATAGAAAAGTATGGAATCCTCAAAATAAAAAAATAAAAAGGTAGTATGGAGCAGTAGTTAAGTGCTTGGCTGCTACTAAGTGAAAGGTCACTAGTTCGAATGCACCAGCCTCTCCACAATATGGGGCAGTTCTACCCGTTCTAAGGAGCTCTAGTAGCATACTGCCTAACGCATATGACTGCTAACCAGAAAGCTGGCGGTTCAAACCCACCAGCCACTCCTCCGAAGGAAGGTTGGGCAGTCTACTTCTGCAGTGATACTGCCTTGGAAACCCAAGGAGGGGGTCGCTATGAGTCAGATCTGATTCCACGGCAGTGCATTTGGTTTGGTTTGGTTCTACCCTGTTCTACAGGGTCAGTATGAGTCAAAATTGACTTGACAATAATGGGTTTGGCTTTTGAGTGGCAGTGTAGGGAAACAGTAAAGAGCATGAACTCTTAATCAGACTGCTTCAGTTTAAAGCCTGGCTGGCAATTTATTAACTCTGTAACTGTGGGCAAATTTCTTAAAATCTCTGTGCCTCAGTTTCTTCATATAAAATGATCTAATTCATGCTAACTCATTTAAAATTTACTTAGAACAGTGCCTCACACATATTAAGTGCTTGATTAACATTTTTATTATAATTATCTGGTAGTTGACATCAATAAAAAGTGACACAGTTCAGTCCCTAAATGATAAATAAATATAAATTTGAAACTTTTAATTTATAAGAGCCCCGAAACAGTTAGGGATAAACTCTGTACAGAACACAGTTCTTAAAACATAAATTCAATTTTGGAGCAAAAAATAAAAATAAGAGGCTAAACATATTGCACTACTTCTCTAATGTACTCCACTGACCTCTATAGTTTTCTCTTAGTAACAACAACCCAAACCCTCACTAATGAAATGCATCTGCAACAGAAATGGTACTATTACCTGAAATCTCAGCTCTTCACACACTGGGAGAGAAAAGTAATACAGTACTAAAAGCTTCAATTTATGGCTAATATCACTCAGTATGTTAATGGCAATACAAAAGTATTAATTACCTTCTAGTGATTCCTTTCTTTCCCTCTTTAAAGTATAACCAAATGGTAGGCCCACTGGATTCTGAGATTTTTCCAAAAACAGAAGGGTTGAAAACAGGTGACAGAAGAACTCACAGTTAAACACTGATTTACCCTATGACCCAGTAATTCTACTTCTAGGTGTGTACTCAAGAGAAAGGAAAATGTATGCCCCCACAAAAACATACATGAATGTTCACATCAGTGAAAAAGACAAAGACCCTCAACAAGATGAACTGGCACAGTGGCTGCAACAATGGGCTTAAATATAGCAATGACCTCATCCAGAGCAAAAAAAAAGTAAAAAAAATCAGACTCAAGATAACAATCCAAAGGACAAATAGACCATCTGAACCCCAGTCCACTGAGACCAGAAGAACTAGATGGTGCCCAGCTACCACTGCTGACTACTCTGAAAGGTATCACAATAGAAGGTTTTGGATAGAGTGGGAGAAATATGTGGAACAAAACTCAAAATCATAAATAAGACCAGACTTACTGGTCTGAGGGAGACTGGTAGACCCCCCCCGAGACTACGCTCCTTAGACACCTTTCAAGCCAGGAACTGAACTCAATCCCCATGGCTCAACTTTCACCCAAATGATAGGCCTATAAAGTGAACAATAATAGCAGAAAGGTATGCGCTTAGAACAATCAACCATATGAGATCAAAAAGGGCAGCATTTGCCCAGGGATAAAGCTAAGAAGGAAGATATAGGAAATAAGGACAAAGAGAAACGGTAAACACAGGGAGGAAGTAGGAAGAATGCTGTTAACACTGCGGTGACTGCAATGAATGCTACAAAATAAAATGTGTATGAATTGTTGAATGGAAAGCCAATTTGCTCTGTAAATTTTCATCTAAACCACAATGTAAAAACAAAAATGTATATATGTTTATTTGTTTATACAGCTATCACCAGAAAAATTAAAAAAAAAAAAAAACCAGAAATGATTGTGATGGTACAAGACTGAGCAATGTTTCATTCTGTTGTACATAGGGTCACTACAAGTCGGAACCACCTCCACAGCATCTAAGAACAACATCAGCTTTATTTATAATAGCTAAGAAGTAAAACACCACCCAGTCCTAGGAAGGAAGACTGGGCAATCTACTTCTGTAGTGATACCACCTTGGAAACCCAAGGAGGGGTCGCTATGAAAACAACCCAAATTTCCATCAATTTATTAATAAATAAAATGAGGTATATCCATATACCACCACTCATCTGTCAATTTCTCATATTGTGGTGTTGCTATGATGCTGGAAGTTATGCCACCAGTATTTCAAATACCAGCAGGGTCACCCATAGTAGACACATTATAGCAGAGCTTCCAGACTAAGACAGACTAGGGAAAAAGGTCTGAAGAGCTACTTCTGAAAATTAGCCAATGAAAATTCTATTGATCACAACGGAATATTGTCCAATATAGTGCTGGGAGGTAAGCCTCCGAGGTTGGAAGGCACTCAACCCAGTAATGTACTTGAGCATACCAACAATTATGAAGATGGCACAGGAATGGACAACATTTAGGTCTACCGTACACGGGGTAACAATGAGTTGGGGACCAACTCAAAGGCAATTAATAACAATATCCATACAACGGGTTTTGATTCAGTAATAAAAATAAAGTACTAATACATACCACATCATGAATGAACCTTGAAAACATTATGCTAAGTGAAAGCCAGATATAAAAGGCCCCATGTTATAGAATCCAGATTTTCTGGAGCCATGGAGACTTGATGAGCCCACAAAACTACTATCCTGAGATAATCTTAAACCAAAAATATCCCCTGAATCTTCTTAAAACCAAACAGTAGTTTAGCTTTACTAGTAAAGAATGTCTGCCTTGAATATTTCTACAAGTGTATTTGTGTGTTCTGTAAGAATTTCCAGGTATATAATAGAGCTGACAAGGGACAGGTTGCAGTCACTTCTTGGCCACAGCCCAGAGGGAGCAAGTAGTTGGACCTGTGAGCTCAGGACCATGGTCACAGGGGACATCAAGCTCAACTGGTATAACATACTACACAAAAACATTATTCCACATCCTACTTTGGGTCTCTCCTCATCCAGAACCAAGAATGAAGAAAAACAAAGATGCATGTACCAAGGACTGGTACATAATGTGATCCTCAGCCTATATGACTATGAGACTAGAAGAACTAGATGATGCTCAACTACCACTATCAACCACTTGAAGGGGGATCTATGTAGGAGATCCTAGATAGAGTA